AACACGTATATTTTATTTTGTTTTTTTTACACATTTTAAGATTTTTTAAAAATGTATACAGGATGTTTCGAAAAATCTGGTCATTGATTAATCACGATCCTGCTTAAAGCCCTTGACGTAAAAAGCTGAATTTTTGGAAAACGGATTGACTTTAGGGTGTAGATAGGTTCGATAAGAAGGGATTTTTCGAAATTCTAGTTCCAAGAGTGTGAAACCACCCCTCAAATATTACAATATTTTTTATTGAAAAAACGGTCAAGTTTCAGAAAAAACGCTTAAACACGTATTTTATTTTGTTTTTTACATATTTTAAGATTTTTTAGAAATGTATACAGGGTGTTTCAAAAAATCTAGTCATTGATTAATCACGATCCTGCTTAAAGCGCTTGACGTAAAAAGCTGATTTTTGGAAAACGGATTGACTTTAGGGTGTAGAGGTTCGATAAGAAGGGATTTTTCGAAACTCGAATTCTAAGGGGGTGAAACGACCCCTCAAATATTAGAATATTTTTTATTTAAAAACCAGTGAGTTTTTCGGAGGAAAAACCCTTAAACACGTATATTTTATTTTGTTGTTTTACATATTTTAAATTTTTTTACAAATTTACACAGGGTGTTTCATAAAATATGACCATTAAATAATCACGATTGCTGCTTAAACTGTTTGACATTTAAAGCTGATTTTTAGCAAACGGATTGACTGTGGGGTGTAGAGGTTCGATAAGGAGGGGTTTCCCGAATATCAAGTTCCAAGAGGGTGAAACCACCCCTCAAATATTACAATATTTGTTATTTAAAAAACGGTTCCTCTTTCGGGAAAACGCTTGGACACGCATAATTTATTTTGTTTTTTTACATATTTTGAAATTTTTTAAAAAATCATACAGGGTATTCCAAAAAGTTGGGTATGGATTAACCACGATTTTGCTTAAACTGCTTGACGTAAAAAGCTTAATTTTGGCAAACGGATTTTTCGAAAGTCAAATTCCAACAAGATGAAACTACCTCTCAAATATTACCAACTTATATAATAATATCGCCATATTGTTTTTTCTCATGCTGACATAAATGTGAGAAAATTTTGTCCAGTTTGTATGTTAATGGAAATTCTTGCTTTGCTTTATCATCACCATTACAAATGATTAATTCGACGCGGGCGAAGTCTCGGCTACATTTGATATAAAACACTTGGTATTTCGAGTCAAATTTTATGGCCTATTTTTTGTACTCTAAATTTAAATTTATTTGTTCTAATTAAATTGAGAATGTCAAAAGTTGACATATTATATGTCGTTCTATTCCGAATGTCATTTTCTATGAAATGTGAAGTAAACAAATACCGACAGTATCATTTAAAAATCAAACGTCGTAGTCATTTCCGGTGAAACAGGAAGTGACCGAAAACAATTAAATTCGTCAATCAATCCTAATTTATGTCATATATAAATATACCAATCTTAGTTTTCTTATTAGAAGAAATAAAAAAGTTACAGGGGTATTGTTATGATTTATATGATTTCCTTCTAATTTTTGTAATTCTCTACACTTTATCAAATTAAAGTGTACTGTCTCTAAGTTCTTAAGATTTTTCGTAGACATACATACATATAGCCATTACTCGCTGACGAGTATTCGACACACATCAGAAGATGGTCACGCAAGGCGTTTTCTTTCATGAGCTTTTCTGTGGCTGAAAAGCCCGATACGTCATGTTATCTGCCTACCGCATTCAAAAATCCCATGGCTTTTTTGCCTCTTTACTTTTTGGTTGTCGCTGTTAACTGAGTTTACAATTCTTCTCCATTGCGTTCTATTGTGAGCTGCCTCTTTCCACTCATTCTGCATGTTAATCCCCTTTAAGTTTTCGTGGAAAATGTCCTTGTACCTTTTCAGTTGTCCACCCGGCCTCCTCTTACCGTCTGCAAGCTCACCGTAAAGCAGAGATTTTGGTATGCGGTTTTCTTGCATTCTGCATACGTGACCAGCCCATCTTAAGCGGGATTTTGTAACCATGACTCCAATACTCTCGCAGTTAGCTTTTTCAAGGACCGATACGTTTTAGATATGATGTAACCACTGGATTCTTAAGAGTTGTCTAAGGTGTCTCTGTTGCAACTTGTTTAATGCGTTCATGTGTCGGCGGTACAGCATGCGGCACCCAGGTTTCGCTCCCATATAACATGGTGGGGATTATAATTGCTCGGTACATTGCAAGTTTCGTTTTTGTACTCAAATCATGATTGTAGAAAACTCTGTCTTTTAAATTCCAGAATGCTCTTGAGGCGTTGCTAATCTTGTGCTGAATTTTAGAATCAATATTGGCCTTTTCCGAAATCAAACTGCCGAGGTAATTGAATTCCGCCACAACATTTTACGTAGACATGAACACAAAAAGACAAATGCCTAAAATTATTATTAAAGCAGTATCGTTATTAAAACTAAACAAACTACGTTAAAAAGCTTGCGCTTTTCAAAATGGTTAAAAACTATTAAAACTTTAATACCTACTCAATGAACCGGCTTTGAACTAAATGTAATGCTTTTATCGATTTTATCAAACATGTCATACATGTTTCATAAATTATTTTCTATTTTTTTAAGAATATTTGTATTATAAACTACCTAAAAATAACATATTTACTATTAATCATTATATTAAAGTAGTATGGATTTCATATTTCGATAGAATTCTCATAAATTGTGTGATTTATGACAAAAACAAGTTTTATACAATTAACTCCCATTCAAGATATCTTATACACATATTATACTAGTTTCAAATATTAAACTGTGAAAATATACCACTGACTAATAGAGAGCTGGCTACATAAAAAACCTTATCATCGTTACATGGCTAATTTTTTGTGTGAAGTATTCTTTTGTGTAGCCATTGTGAAATAGTCATGTCTGCCAGCGCGATCCCGGGGCTTAAAGCGGGGCGGCCAATCGAAAGGGTGAAATTTTGACACTAAAAATATTATAAGGTACACGAGTTATAATTGCCAAATAGCTTTTATTTATTATTAGGAAACGTGTAAAATTGTTGACAGACATTTTTCTCGTGGCTGAAATGGCGGCAGACAACGCGAAAGAGGCATAGAATTTTGACAAAAGAAAATCATCGCATACGTGCATGTCGGTTGGTGGAATGTCATGTTTATTGTTAATTAATTTAAAAAGCCGTATGCAAAAGGGCAGACAAAAAATCGTTATTGAAATAATAAAACTTAAATAAAATAAAACTTAGAAAAAATACTTAAATGGATGAGACGGCCAACGTTCCCTGAATAAAGCCCTAGAGTAATATCGCGCTTTTGATAACTGTCTGCAGCTGATTGAGCCACGATCTTTTTGTCTACCCTTTTGCATACGGCTTTTAAAATAAATATATATGACATTTCACCAATCGGCATGCAAATATGCCATAATTTTTTTCACTCAATTTCATGCCTCTTTCGCGTTGTCTGTCGGCATTTTAGCGACTAGAAAAATATCTGCTAACAATTTTCCACGTTTCTTAATAACAAATAAAAGCTCTTTTCGCAATTATAACTCATGTATCTTATAATATTTTTAGTGTCAAAATTTCACCCTTTCGATTGGCCGCCCCCGCTTTAAGCCCCGGGATCGCGCTGGCAGACATGCCTATTTCATAATGGCTACACAAAAGGATATTTCACACAAAAAATTAGCCCTGTAACGATGATAAGGTTTTTTTAGTAGTAGCCAGCTTTTAGACTATAATTCAAGATGTTATAAAATTGTGGAAAAATACTAGACGAGTGCATTGATTTTTTTTTGTAAATAAACTTAGTGCACCTTAATTGTCTTTGATGACTTATTGATTTTAAAATAAAATATACAGAGTTACAATAAAATAAGTTAAAAGTCTTAACCTCTGCAGGCATGAGTTTAGCCGAATACTAGATATTCGACTGAATTTGAACCAAACATTCGGTCCAATACGGAATAATAGAAATACTGACCTCGGTTTCCTACAAAGCAGTACCGCAAAAGAGCAGTCGTAATTTGACGGTGATATACGCCGCTAAAAGGCGTGTATACTGGGTGCGTCTCAGAAGTGGCTCAGACCTATAACTCTCTTATTTCTTCAAATAAAAAAAATCGAGATTTGGTATGTGACTATATGACATAAATTAGGACTGATTGACGTATTCATTTGTGTTTGGTCACTTCCAGTTTCACCGGAAATGACTACAACTTTTGATTTTTAAATGGAACCCTCGGCATTTTTTACTTTATTCGATAGAAAATGACATTCTGAATAGAATGGCATATCATATTTCAACTTCTGAGATTTTCGCTTAAAAAATTGTATTTTAAATTTCAATCTAGAGTGCCATGGCTGTGTTAAAAGCACTAATTAGCATTTTATACGAATAATTTGGTACCGCACACTTGGTATTACGAATCAAATTTTCGTTATGAATCGCATGTTACAATGTCAAATAAACCATATGCGAAAATGTCAAAAGTTGCCATTCGATATGTCATTCTATTCAGAAAGTGGCTTCAGTGGCTCCGGTAGTCATTTCCCGTGAAACAGGAAATGACCAAAAATAATTGAATATGTCAATCAATCCTAATTTATGTCATAAACTAACATACCAAATCTTGTTTTTTTATCTTAAAAATAAAAAGTTATAGAGGTAAAGCCACTTTTTAGACTCACCCGGTATACTTGCAAATCGGTGTGTGTTCCTCGAAAGCGTTCGCTCGAATAATAGGGCACCGTATTTTCTAGAGCGGCCGCTCTGTACGGTAGTATATTGCAAGCACGTTTTTTGACGGTGGACAATATTTGGTTTGATCTGACTCCAAGCGGTATGTTTTAATAAAGCCTCGGTTCTCTACAAAATGGGTTTAAAAGAGCGGCCGTAATATGGTGGCCGTTTTTGCTAACGAGTAGTACGGCCGCTGTGACGGTGAATGTTATTGTAAAGTAACACTAGTACTGATTTACTTATATTTATTTCCAGGTGGTCCAGGAAGTGGTAAGGTAACCCACTGTGACAACCTTATGCAGGAGAAGAAAGAAATTGTCCATATCAATATGTCAGATCTGTTGCAACAATACGCAATAGGAAATGGTATGTTGAACAATTATTAATATATGTATTATTTTTTAGTTACTACTAATACAATATATGAATCTGTATTTTCATTCAACTTTGTTCGTCTTTATTTGCACAGCATAATTTGATAACATAGTAGAAATGTCAAATATTGACGTAATTTTAAATTTTAATGTCCTCATGATAGAACTTTTATTTTATGCTTGATTTATCATTTCCATGGAGTTTAATATTGATTATTTCCCTCATCGTGAAATGGACCAATTAGCTAATCTAATTTTTCGAATAAATTTTGTTTAGATAAGTGATTAAATCCCAAGACCAGTTTAACCGCGATTATTTTTTCGGCTTCCTTTTGGGCTTTCTTTTTGTCGTTTATCACTAATTCTGAGAGATTTTGGCAACAGTTCTTTTAAAAACATTGATTTACAACTCATATGTATGACTTAATAACGATTTTAATCGGTGAAAACCCCTTATTCGATATTATTTTGAACAAATAAGTGGAGAAAAATACGTCAGAATTTGATATGTTGACATGCGAAACGGTCCTCGATGCATTGTTGGGATGCGTAACCAAGGTAGCTGAAGCACAAACATTACTTACGAGACGTCATTTTGAAAAAATGTTGTCCGAAAATGTTAAAATTTATAGTTAATAAAATTCTTATAGTTATTTGCTTCATCATTCGTTTCATTCTAAGTCATTCAGGAAATAATCTAGCCGTATATCACTCAACCTATAAATTTAATTGATTAAACTACTCAAATAATTTTTTGCATGATTTTGCTTTTTAGAAAATAGTTTCATGCACAATAATTTTAGAATAAAAACATTCGACCGCTTCGCGGTCTCGTGTTTTTATTAATTTATTGTGCCATTCAACTATTTTCTTATAGGTCTTGTGATATAATATATGAAAAATAATTTGCAAATGAGCTGTTTAACTCGTCAGAGACTTAATCAGACTTAATCTTCTTCTTCAGAATAGCATTCCATACACCAGCAGATTTGGTCGGTGAATTTAGTCGACGGACTAGATCCGCCGACTAAATTGTGGACGACCCAATCTGCACTGCCGATTTAAAAGGGTACAACACGCAACGACACAAATTACCTATAACAGATGCGAAAGAAAGCGACTGCATCGGAAACCGCTCGGCAAACTCGACACGTCTATTGAGTGGTGTAAATACACCAGTGGTTTAATCCGGAAACCTATGCTGTGTCGTATTCGCTTGCTGGAATGACATAGTGCGTGGTTATATGTTTCTTTTTAAAAACGCGTGTAGGATTTTTGTTGAACTTTTGAACTGTTATTTCTAAGTTTTGGTAATTTGATTATCTTATTTAAAATGGGATGCAAATGTGTTTATTTATAAGGAAAAAAGAGATATTTATAGTATAAAAAATTAATTTATTTAACAAAATTTAATTAAAAATGTGACAAAATAGTTACCTTTCTATTGGTTCTATCGGACTTTTTTCGACTATATAAATCTTTATTTGTAAACTTTAATACATCAAATATTTTCAATCTAATTAATCATTTAATGATGTAAATAAGAGGAAATTTCTCACATGGGTGGTCAAATTTTATAGTTTTCATTATATCAAACAGCCTCTGAGAAATGTTTTCAACTCAAAATGCCTTTAATTATGTTTGACTACATCATTAAAAAGGGTGTTCAAATACATCAATGTGATATTTGTCTAAAATTTGCAAAAAAATCCGAATCTCTGGATAACTCGAAATTATTTACCCATTTAAAAGCCTTTGATCATGAAAGTGGAAAAATTTGTTCATTTTATTTACAGGCTGGAAAAATTATTTAAATTAAATTTTGATGAGTTTTGCACTGAAGAAAACGTTCAGAGGCTGTTTGATATAATGAAAACTATAGAATTTGACCACCCATGTGAGAAATTTCCTCTTATTTACATCATTAAATTATTTATTAGATTGAAAATATTTTATTCATTAAAGTTTACAAAAAATAAAGATTTATATAGTTGAAAAAAGTCCGATAGAACCAATAGAAATGTAACTATTTTGTCACATCTTTAATTAAATTTTGTTAAATAAATTAATTTTTTATACTATAAATATCTTTTTTTTCCTAATCACCTACGAGCTGATATAATATGACGAACAATCTATTAAATTACTGCGAGATTATACAGAAAAGTCCACAGACTTCGAGACATAGGAAAATCAAGTCCATTTAGCGTGTGTCCAAATTTTGACAAGTTTTCAAAAATTACAGTTTTGTTTAGACTGACGTTTAATTTCACCTGACTTCTCGGTGAATGATTTTTTTATGGAGGTACATAAAATCTAAAATTTACGGCCATGAAGAAATTCAAAACTTGGAGCAGTTAAGGCAGAAAATATTTAATGCCTTTGACACTGTCACCCCTGATATGTTATCCAATGTGAGGAGTGGATTTTATGATCATTTGGGTTATTGTTTAATGCAAGAGGGAGGCACTTTTGAACAATTTTTGTAATTTTTTAAATTTCATTATCCTGTTTTTTTACCGTTTACCTATTACCTACCTTGACGAACATGGGAAAACGAAGGTCGTTTTCAGGACCACAAATATTTTGATTGAGAAAATTGGTAACTTTTTTTTGGATTCAAGAACAAAAGTTGTTAATATAATACCAATTTAAAAGTGTTTTAGTTAAAACTACTAAAACACACTATGATATAAAATTTATTATTATTATAATGTACATTATTAATACTATTGTTCATTCGAAATGACATTAAGGCCCAATTGCAACAATGATTTAATTTTTTCTTAAAGATAAGTAGAGCTTAGAATGAGCTGTATTTATATTTACTTTAATATTCACCTTAAATGAGGGAATTTGACTGATACAATTTTTGAATTTGAATTGTTTTTAATGATACTAACAATTTTAGTTCAATTTTTAATAAAATTTATTTAATATTAATAGAAATCCAAGAGATTTGAAACCTCTTTTAGCGATTTATAACATTCTCAAATGAATTACAGGTGCCCTTATTTTGAATGAAAATCACACAGCTTTTTTCATAGTCGCTGCAGTTGCTATAGCTATAAAAAACTAATTTTTTAAGGTGTGAAAATTGCGACACACGCTAAATAGACTTGATTTTTCGTATGTCTCGAAGTCTGTGGACCTTTTTGTATGCCTCGATAACATATTGGTGCAGATTATTTTCACCCAAACAAATAATAACCCAAACTATACATTGATGCGGATTGTCTATGAACTCTTTCTGAAGGTCACAGAAACCTGAACGCGTAATTCGGTGTTCTTTCGCATCTGTTATAGGTAATTTGTGGCAACGATTTGATCAGCAAGCCAAATGGCACAGTTCAGTAACACAAAATAATATTAACAATGAAAGATGCAGAATTTTGTAACTATATTTAACAACAATAACACATTTAAATGATTTCTAATAGTAATAATAATAAATAGCAAACCATGACAAGAAATATTGCTACAGAATGTGTTCAAAATGTAGACCGCCTTCCCTTCTGCACAGAATGGACCGTTTTTAAACATTTCTCGCGGAATTCATTATCTAAATGGGGGTGAAAAAGACCTAGCTTAACCGCTAAGCACTTTTAATTCTTGTCAGAGTATACGGGCAATTTAAAAATAAGATCCTTTAGTCTACCCCAAGTGGCCGGCCGTAGCTCCAGCGTTAGTGTGTCGATCTGCCCGGTCAATAAAAGAGCTACCTAGGGCAAACACCGGCCCCCCTGTTCACAGGGTTCGCTTAGGTGGTTGAGTGCTTCGTCAGAAGAACAACATACCATCTTATCATGTTATTTTATTTATTGTATATATTGTATATAGCACCTTTTTATTGTATTTAAGGAGACATTCTCAATAAATGCTTTGAAACTTGAAACTTGAAACTTGTCGATCTGCGGAGCGGAAGGTACTGGGTTCGATCCCAAGCCAGTACGGTCGCTTTATTTATTTAAATAAAAATATTTATTTATCTAAATAGAGCGACCAACGAGCCGCCACCTAAAGGAAGGCAATGGCAAACCACCTTGAGTATATTTGCCTTGTACAGCCTCTCAAATATAGTGCCGTTCGGATTCGGCGATAAACTGTAGGTCTCGTGTACTTGTGAAACACTGATGACACACATCACAAGTACATGCGAGAGGTAGCCGACGCTCTATATAGAGTATGGCACTGTAAGAAGAAGAAGAAGAAGTCTACCCCAAAAATAAAAATCCATAGGCGTTAAGCCCTGCAGCCTCGACGGTGAACGGCTGGGATCTTTGTTAGCTATCCAATTATTCTCGAAATTGGCTGCAAAAAATTGCTGATAATTTGCGTTGTGAGGCGGTACCTCGTCTTGTTGAAAAAATATGTTTCCAAACTTTTATAAATTCTGCATTTCGAAGGGGACTCGAACAAAATATCAAGGGTGCTATATTTTTGGAAGAGCAATTTTTAGTTCTTTCCATTGAATTAAAAATATACAGGGTGTCCCATATAACAAATCAATTTTTCTCTTGATAAATCTTAAATTTTAATTAAAAAAATATATGTACTTAAGCAATTAAATTCTATGTAAAAGCTACTTTAGAAATGTTTTTATAAAAACAAAAAAATTTCCATAGCAATAAATAATTTTTGATAAACACCATGTAACTTCGAACCGGTAACATATCGATGTGCGGTTTTTACTGTAATGTTTTTGATAAAAATTGAGCTCCAGACACCGATATTAGTTTTCGTCTATTTTCTTAAAAAAGAGCGTTTCCCTTTACAATTGACCAATTTGGTCCATTCTGTACAAGCGGGGTCACTCTGTACAGTGATTTTGGAAAATAAAAGCTAACTGACTTTACTGAGTACAGTTATAGTTTTAAAATATTAGTCAAAGGTTAGAAGTAAACACAAAAACCTTTTATCCAGTAAGAGTTATTGTAATAAAACTTTCTAAAAGCATTGAAAATTTTACCTTTTCACCTTTTCTTGAAAATT